ACCAGCCCTGCACTCCGATGTAGAGGACCCTTAAGCTGGACATGTTGCCATACTCTGCAGGAACTCCACCGAAGAGAAAATTGTCATGGACGTTCAAGGTCTGCAGCCTCTGCAGCCGGCCCCATTCCACGGGCAGCTCGCTCAAAAGGAAATTGTGGCTCAGATCGAGGTCCTCGAGGTACTCGAGCTTGCCCAACGAAGGACCCAAAGTGCCGTTCATCTTCAGCCCAGAAAAGTTGAGGGAGATCACGTGCAGCTCATCGTCGCAGATGACCCTCGTCCATGAGCAGTAGGTGGAGCGATTCCCCGTTGTCCATCCATCCAAAGCGTTGTCCGCATAGTTTTCGATTTCGGCCTTGAATTGCAGGAGCGCATCGGCCTCCCTGGTACAGTGACAACACATTGAACTCGTATGGCGTTAGAGATGAAATTCACTCATGCTCATGCGCATTTCTTTGCACATGCTCGGACGAAGGACACAAGCTACAGGTGCAGAATTGTGCACTTCTCTATCAGATGATATCTTGCTGCTAAATGTCACTGACCCGAAGGTGTCTTGGAGCAAAGTGCGAGATATTCCTCGGGAGTGTGCAGATTCCTCCTGAAAACGATGGAGAGGCTCATGACGATTCGTTAACGAAGTGTCGACGGCTTGGTCCTGAAGTCTAAACTGCTGCAGATCTCGCTGGCTCGTGGGACCGCCGTGTGTTTGTTGCTGGCCCATGTGCGTTCCAACGGAGGCCGCCGGAGGGAGCACACTCTCGATTTCGATGCTGCCATGCTCTTTCCCGGCCGATTCTGCACGTGCATCGAAATCTGGATCCTGGAGAGTCTCAACAAGAGTCTCGATTCTGCTTATTTTTCGGAAGGTGGTATCCTCTTGGCCAAGGGCGCAAGCACCGAGCTGGAAATAACATAGCACCAGAATCAACAGCATCCTGAAGCGTTCGCGGAGAGCGGACATATCAGGAGAGGAAACGACCGATGCCCGACCTGTAGATCGTCTGAGGAAGGGCACGGTGTCCACCTCCAGAGAAATATAAAACTCAATTCTCCATGTACTCCTCAATCTCCATGCATCGTGGAATTGCGAGACAGCTAGCTAGCCCAGCAGTGAACGACGCAGAGAACTACGTGATTCCCAAAATGTTCAGCAGGTCCACACTGATATTAATCCTCTAAACTCGGACGACTAGATCGCTAGATTACCAGCCCGGCGTCTCCTGTGACTTTGAGCTCCTCCAATTCGGGAAAAGACCGGCCGTGGTGAGAGAAGACTCGTACAAGAGGGCGTTTGACTTCTATATCCTGGAGAAGGAAAAGAGAGAGAGAGAGAGAGAGAGAGAGAGAGAGAGAAAACAGAGAGAGAAAGAATCGTCCTGCGTCTTATGAATGGATGGATGGAAGGATCTCTAAAGAGGATGGTGGTGGTCCTGATGACGGCAGCAGTGAGCGCAGATCTCTATTCTGGTGCAACTTTGGGTATCTTCCGTTCGCAGACGTCTTGTGCTTCTTGTTCTTCGACTTCGTTGACTTCAGTGGCAAGGAAAGCTTGAACTCAATGGTTCATAGGAATAGTTACAGCTACAGAACGTGGCATAGCTTGGTATGCGGTCTCTGTTGAGATGCTCCAAGTGCACGGGGTTGTGTCCGCATCTGATAACATCAGCGGACCCCAGCGCGGCTTCAGTGAACGGTTGCCATTTCTGTCGGTAGTCAGGGCTCAACAGAAAATTCACCTAGAGAGTTGCAACTTCGCAATGTTTTGATCGACGCCAGACGATGGATGAAATCACGTATTGGCTCCCCAACCTTAAACCAGCTCTTGGCCTCTGATTAGCATCAGCTCAGATAATATCGTTCAGACCACAACATTGGATCTTCCAAATGCCCTGCTGGGTTCCGAGAATGGGCAGTGAAAGTTGAAGTGGTTAAACCTTCACTGCACTTTGAGGATCAATGCTTTCTTTACGCCTCCCTGGGCACGCATGAACGAACTAGGTGGTTTACGGTCATGGATATTTTTATTATCAACTCCCCGCTTGGATTCATCGGCCACCATTTTAATCGTCGTGACGTGTGCAAAGATTTTTTGGCGGGGCTTCCTTTTCTTCCTCACATTGTCTGCTCTGAAAGGCTAATCTACGCCAATGAGCCTTCTTTCCTTCCTCTTCTCTTGGAAGCCAATTTCATCAACCTGCAGGGTTACATGATTCTGGATTGGAATTTGATTACATCTGCTGGAATTGAGCATCAAGATATGAGAACAGATTGCCAAGTTCTAGCATATGCAAAGTAATGGTCGAGAGATATGAAGGTAAGCAAGCTCTAATTGCAAAATCTATGCAATTGCTGTACTGTGCTCAGAGGAGAGAATTGTACTCTGTCGCTGAGATGTCGACTCTGGTTGCGGTGTGAGCTGAAGGGCAGAATGCAAACTTTCGTTCTCCATTTTCGAAGCAAGGTTGTTACATTTTGGGAAGCAAGGTTGTTGCATTTTGGGAAGCAAGCATTTTGTTGAAGACAAAAGGTCTCAAACCTGACTGACCAACTGTCTTTTGTCCCCATTGTTGATTCCAAAATTTATACCCGCAATGTGCGGAAATAAATATTGATTCTTGGAAAATGAACTTGGAAGTTCCGATGTTCCAAAGGAGCACACAGTGACATCACCTCCAGGAGCCCTTAATCTATGTCTTCGATTTGTGTGCATAATGTGAAGCCGTTCATTTAGTCCTACAAAGTGAAATTATAATGCCGTGTCAAATATGTAAGTTCATTTGCAATCCTGGAAATATGGAGAAGGCCTCATATTTGGGGTCTACCCCATGTTACACCTTTGGTTTCATCTATCTACAACTTGATGAGTTCTTCCTAGAAATTTCGCTATATTACTTCGTGATTCTTCTGAATAGAGGGAGACAAGGATTTTGCTGCTGTATGGTTACGATTGAGCCGTTTACAGAAGCTGAAGGCATAGTTGTTTTAGCTGTATGTGAGTTATAGAGCATTGTAAGCGAGCTGAGTGCATTATTCTAAGAACCACATAATAACGCGAAAAGCTCAAGGTTTACTTCCACGGAGTTATTACACTATATGTGGAGTTGTAAAATTTTGAATGACGCAGGTAAGTGGCAAAGAAAGTAAACGTTGAAGCTAATGAAGAAAGTGTTGTTCTCTGGGTTGAAAAACAGGTGTAGACATCTTAAATATTTCAGAGTTCACTGATCGTGGATGACAACGTCTGCAATCCAGGGTCAGCACGATGATGACGATAATCCTCAAGTGGGCAAAGGTCATGCTTTAATCAGATTTTGCACTTGCATGGATGGCACTTCAAAAGAGAACGATTTTTTTTCATATCCACATCCAAGCTCTAGTATCATCTTCAGTGGCCAAGACTTGTGTACCAGGCTAGAAAGTGATTGTAGTTGACTTTTGTCGCTCAAGAATTCAGCAGGACTCTTACGAGAACCTTAGGTAATCGTGACATGTGCTCCTTAATCTCTGTGCCAGTTGTCCGTAATCATCAGAGGGATGCACCCTGAACTCACGCACCCATTAGATAATTAGTATGCTCACATCTTTAATCAACGGTGCCATGATTTAATCAGCAAGATCCGTGGATATGTCGTACAACGTAAAGTATCTTCGAGGCTTGCATGTATGTTTTATGTAGGATCTAGGGAAGTGACGTGTGGATAAGGCGGAGAACCATAGAACTAAAAGAGAGGTAAAAGAGCCCGGAGGTGGGACATGACGCAGGATGCACAGAAAGTCTGTCATGAAGACGGCTGTGCAAGGCCCAATGAGATGCTCTGCAAGCCGTTCCGATTATTAAGAAACAACAATGTCACAATTATTGCTGCACCATTCTGATGGAGGATTACGCCAGAGATCAATGGAGTGCAATCAAAGAGGCGAAGCATACAAATCGACGTTGATGAAAGAAGAAGATAGTGACATGAAGAGCGTAAATCATTTTGGTTATTAAACAGACGCAGTTCTCTGTACTCTTACTGATACTATTGTAATGATAGTCTTTCCCTCTACACATAGCGCTGCAAGGGCTGTTGGGGGTTTACCCTCCACATCCCTCTTCCTTTAGATGAGTAAACATGGTGCTAATGCAGAAAGAAGATAACAAACCTTCGAGGTCTAGCTTGAAGTTTCATGTTTGTTCCAGATCTGGGTACTTTATAATTAGGACGGTTCGCTGAGAGATCCTTTGTAGAGCCTGCTCGCTGTGCTTTGTTACTACCGATCTTCATCTAACTATCAATCTAAGTGTCTATCTTTCCAGCTCTGTCCGACTCCATCCTACGGTTCAGTTCTATCACCCTCACGCTCCAAAGCCCATAAGCTTTTTAAATGAAGCTAGATGCTCCAGCAAGCCTGTTTTCCCTCCTGTGAGATCCAAAGTAGAGCTCATGAGTTATTATGAGCTGTCCACCTTGCCGACTCTCCACGTTCGAGTGAAACTCACGAGTAAGTTTCAATGCCCACTTTTTGATGATCCTGAAGCCATTTTGAACTCAAAATCCATGATTAGCCGATATTTCTCTTCAAATTTCAACTCAAAGGATTCATTCTCATTAATCTCTTTTGCATGACCAACATTTATGCAATGCGATGATTACTTGGTAACATCTTGGAAATGGGTTCATCAAGACCATCTTATTGTTCGGGGTCAACCTCAGTTGTAGGTTCATTCTCTGAGTATTCTGATCCAGGTTCAAGCACAAGTTCACAATTAATAAAAGCTTTGCCCCTCGCCTTTTGAGCTCAAGTATGTATGCCATTCTTCGATACAACTTGGTCCTTAGTCTTCACTCCCATTTTTTACTAGAACCGATACCACATGACACACACAGAGAGAGAGATATATATATATATATATATATAAATAAAAATTTAGTCAATTTAGCAAGTGAGCTTCAACAAGAGTAAGAACATTTTAATAGTTCATATATACATCAAATATAAGCTCCAAGTTGTGCGAGAAGATTCTACAACTGCTTATCATTCTTGTTACATTTGAATGGTCTTAATCGAAACAAATTATAATGGATGCGCTGCCATATTTTCGCCCGTGGTGGTTTCGATCCTCGAACTTGTGAACTAATATGCATCAACGTTGTAACAAGGTACGTCTCCCAGTGAAGGGGCTCAATCATTGGTGTTCGTTTTAACACGTGGCGGGTCTCCATTCGAAGCATTGGAACGGGCTGTACTAAATTGTCGGTGACATTGGCGGAGGAGTCTCCTGATCAGGACGTCAAAGTCGATCTCGCTTGGTTGAACATGCATCTGATCAGCTTCCTGTGGACAGTCTTTCTCGATTCCAGCTGCAGTCTTATGGAAGCCGACACTTTCTGGAGGTCTGAGCGCATGTGGAAAGCGGCCAGGTTACATTCAGCGAGTAGATCCAAGAATCATTTGCCAGTCTGATAAAGCGAAAGTGTGGAAGTCTCGTCGCTGGAAGTGGACCCCGTCGAGAGGAAAGGATTCCTGAGTTCTTCAGGGAGGAGCGACATGCATTTCCGTCAAATGTGGTCCTATCACATAAAATGAAACGTGGTGGGTCCCATCAAGGGATTTGTGTCTCCCACGGTCCCATCAAGTAATTACAATGAACCTGCTCCAATCTGGAGACAAAAGCTTCCAAGGGGAGTAATCCTGCAATCATGAATCGTCGTGGAATCTGGCTCTACTTTACACAGTCCAATTGGAACAACTCAGTGCAGACAACGCTGTGCTATCTAGAGGCCCAGCAGCAGTAGCACATGTGTATGGCGGACAACGAGTCCCCATTCAGGTGGAATCTCGTAAGCCCCGGCTGGTCCCCGGGGTCCAGCCGGGTGCAAAGCGAGCAGTCGCATACGCAGCAGGCAGCTGCTGAATGATTTGGTCTATGTCGGTTCGTTGAACACTCCGTATCTACCGTCATTGAAATGGCGAGCGGAATCTTGAGTATGCAGTAGCCAGTGTCGTGCGCAGGGCATTGTTCTCAGCGTTCCGATCACGACCCCGATCACAATCATGAACCCGATCGGAATTCCGATCTCGAAGGCCCGCCAGAATGTACCATCCAGGAGCTCGAACGACGGAGCCCCGAGTGTGGCCGAGCTTCCGCTTGCGTCGCTGTCTTGCGCCGCACAAGTGGTCTCGAGCGGGGCCCCGCAGAGCTGATCGTTCCCGGGCTTGAAGGACGAAATGTCGTACCTCGTGGAGAAAGCATTCGCCGTGGGGATCTCGCCCTCGAGGAAGTTGTAGGAGAGATTCAGATAACTCAAGCTGGGCCTGCTGAGCACCGCAGGAATCTTCCCCGTGAGATAGTTGGCCGACAAATCCAGCGACTGGAGACGCAGCAGATCTTCGAAAACCTGAGGTATTTCTCCCGAGAAATTATTATGCGTCAGATTCAAGTACGTCAACCTGCGCAGCTCTCCAAGCGCGTACGGGAGCTTCCCGGAGAGATGGTTGTATGACAGGTCGATGGAGAACAGAGTCTCGAGGACGTACTCGAGTTCGAGTCGCGAACCTTTGGCCTCAATGGAGATTTGCTCGAGCAATGTATTCCCCTCCACCTCGACCCCATCGATTCCATCGACGTTTACGTCGATGACACTGCTGCCTCCCCCGGCGTCGTCTGGCGATGCTTCGAGGCGACTAAAGCCTTCCAACCCCGAGAGATTGGTGGGCCAGACTCCCGTGAATGAGTTGTGCGACAAGTCGAGCACTTGCAGCTCCGGTAGGTTCCAGATCCATCCAGGCACGCGGCCACCGAATTCGTTGGATGATAGTTTCAAAACTCGCAATGCGCGCAGCACTGGCTGAGAGTACTCGTAGTTGTCGGGGAGCTCCCCTGAGAATTTATTGCTGCTCAGGTCTAGGAGCTTCAGATCCGTGCAGTTGTACACGCTCAAGGGAAACTCTCCGCCCAACTGGTTCCCGTTGACAGAAAAGCTCTCGAGGGATCGCAGCTGCAAGAAGTCAATCCGAGTCACATTGCCCGTGAGCTTGTTGTTGCTCAGCCTGATGTTTCTCAGCGAGCTGCAGTTCGCCAGAGACGCGGGAATGGTTCCCGTGAGGTTGTTGCTGTGGAGGATGAGATACTCCATGTACTGCAGTCGCCCCAGCTCTGGAGGGATTCCTCCCGTCAGAGAATTGTTGCTCAGATTGATCTGTTCGATGTTCTCCAGGTCGGCCAAGCTCGTGGGTATGGGCTCTGACAGCCCGTTATTGTGCAGGTAGAGCAATCGCAAGTTCGGCAGCTTGCCGAGCTCGGCGGGAATGGGGCCTCGGAAGTCGTTGTCGTTCAGGAGCAAGTCCGTGATGTCGTCCGAGAGCAGCAAGAGGTTTCTCACTGGCTCCAGCGTGCCAGTGAGCCTGTTCCTCGATGCGTACAGGAGCGAGAGCTCCGAGAGGTTTCTCAGCGGCTCCAGCGTGCCCGTGAGCCCGTTGTTCGCTACGTACAGGGATGAGAGCTGCGAGAGGGTTCTCAGCGGCTCCAGCGTGCCCGTGAGATTGTTGTTCCCTGCGAGCAGGTTTTCGAGCAACGAGAGGTTTCTCAGCGGCTCCAGAGTGCCCGTGAGCCTGTTGTCCACTACGGTCAGCAGAACGAGCAGCGAGAGGTTTCTCAGCGGGTCCAGAGTGCCCGTGAGCGTGTTGTTCCATACTTCCAATTCACGGAGCTGCGAGAGGTTTCTCAGCGGCTCCAGCGTGCCCGTGAGCCTGTTGTTCAATGCGTACAGGTAATGGAGCAGCGAGAGGTTTCTCAGCGGCTCCAGCGTGCCCGTGAGGTTGTTATTCGATGCTCCCAGCTCAAAGAGCTGCGTGCAGTTGTTGAGGCTGTCGGGCAATTCCCCGTCCAGCTGGTTGTATCCGAAATCGAACACTTGGAGGTTGGCCAGCTGCCCCAGGTTCTCGGGGAGGCCGCCGGTGAACTCGTTATGTAACAATTCGAACTCCGTCAGCGCCGTCATGGCCGTCACAGCTCTGGGAAAACCGCCACGAAAGTTGTTCCTGTTGATGAAAAGCTTTTCGAGCCGACTCCACGAAGTGGACTCCACTGTCAGAAAACTCCCCGTCAGGAAGTTGTTCGCCACGTTCAGGAACTCGAGCTCCGACAGCGACGCCAGCTCCACGGGGAACTCTCGCTCTAGAGCATTTTTTCCCAAGTGGAGGAACTTGATCTTCGTCAGGTTGCCCAGCTCGGATGGGATGGAGCCTGTGAAGTTGTTCTGCTCGAAGCTCAGATACTCCAGATTGAGAAGCTGGCCGTACTCTCTCGGAATGGGACCCGTCAGATAGTTGTTGCCGAAGAAATCCAAGTACCACAGCTTCGTGCAGTTGGCGATGGACTTGGGAATGGGGCCTCTCATCTTGTTCGACGGGTAATAGTCGTACTCCTGCTTGGCATCGAAATTGAAGAGCGCGCCCAGAGCCAGAACCTCGAGCTCAGAGAGCAGACCCAGCTCCTCCGGAATGGACCCATTGAAGAACTCGCCCTGCGATCCGACGTTGAGGACCCGTAAGCTGGACATGTTGCCGTACTCTGCAGGAACTCCACCGAAGAGAAAATTATCATGGACGTTCAAGGTCTGCAGCCTCTGCAGCCGGCCCCATTCCACGGGCAGCTCGCTGACCAGAATATTAAGGCTCAAATCTAGGTCCTCGAGGTATTCGAGCTTGCCCAACGAAGGACCCAAAGTGCCGTTCATATTCAGCCCGGAGAAGTTGAGGGAGATCACGTGCAGCTCATCGTCGCAGATGACCCTCGTCCACGAGCAGTAGGTGGAGCGATTCCCCGTTGTCCATCCATCCAAAGCGTTGTCCGCATAGTTTTCGATTTCGGCCTTGAATTGCAGGAGCGCATCGGCCTCCCTGGTACAGTGGCAACACATTGGACTCGTATGGCGTTAGAGATGAAATTCACTCATGCTCATGCGCATTTCTTTGCACATGCTCGGACGAAGGACACAAGCGACAGGTGCAGAATTGTGCACTTCTCTATCAGATGATATCTTGCTGCTAAATGTCACTGACCCGAAGCTGTCTTGGAGCAAAGTGCGAGATATTCCTCTGGAGTGTGCAGATTCCTCCTGAAAACGATGGAGAGGCTCATGACGATTCGTTAACGAAGTGTCGACGGCTTGGTCCTGAAGTCTAAACTGCTGCAGCTCTCGCTGGCTCGTGGGACCGCCGTGTGCTTGTTGCTGGCCCATATGCGTTCCAACGGAGGCCGCCGCCGGAGGGAGCACACTCTCGATTTTGATGCTGCCATGCTCTTTCCCGGCCCATTCTGCAAGTGCATCGAAATCTGGATCCTGGAGAGTCTCATCAAGAGTCTCGATTCTACTTATTTCTCCGAAGGTGGTATCCTCTTCACCAACGGCGCAAGCACTGAGCTGGAGGCAACATAGCACCAGAATCACCAGCATCCTGAAGCGTTCGCGGAGAGCGGGCAGATCAGGAGAGGAAACGACCGATGCCCGACCTGTAGATCGTCTGTGGAAGTGCATGGTGTCTACCTCCAGAGAAATATAAAACTCAATTCTCCATGTACTCCTCAATCTCCATGCATCGTGGAGTTGCGAGACAGCTAGCTAGCACAGTAGTGAACGACGCTGAGAACTACGTGATTCCCAAAAAGTTCAGCCGGTTCACACTGATCTTCATCCTCTATACTAGGAGGACTAGATCGCTAAATGACCAGCCCGGCGTCTCCTCTGACTTCGAGCTCCTCCAATTTGGGAAAGGACCTGCCGATGCACATCTCCTGGCTTGCTCTCCGGACGCGGTGACGACCGAAGACAAGATTCGTACCAGAGGGCGTTGGAGTTCTATATCCTGGAGAGAAGAGAGAGAGAGAGAGAGAGAGAGAGAGAGAGAGATAAGAAAGAGGGAGAAAGAATGGTCCTGCGTCTTATGAATGGATGGATGGAAGGGTCTCTAAAGAGGATGGTGGTGGTCCTGATGACGGCAGCAGTGAGCGCAGATCTCTTTTCTGGTGCAACTTTGGGTATCTTCCGTACGCAGACGTCTTGTGCTTCTTGTTCTTTGACTTCGTTGACTTCAGTGGCAAGGAAAGTTTGAACTGAATGGTTCATAGGAATAGTTACAGCTACAGAACGTGGCATAGCTTGGTTTGCGGTCTCTGTTGAGATGCTCCAAGTGGACGGGGTTGTGTCCGCATCTGATAACATCAGCGGACCCCAGCGTGAATTCAGTGAACGGTTGTCATTTCTGTCGGTAGTCAGGGCTCAACAGGAAATTCACCTAGAGAGTTGCAACTTCGCAATGTTTGGATCGACGCTCGACAATGGACGAAATCACGTTTTGGCTCCTCAACCTTAAACCAGCTCTTGGACTCTGATTAGCATCAGCTCAGATCATATCTTTCAGACTACAACATTGGATCTTCCAAATGCCCTGCTGGGTTCCGAGAATGGGCAGTGAAAGTTGAAGTGGCTGAGCCTTCACTTCACTTTGAGGATCGAATGCTTTCTTTACGCCTCCCTGGGCACGCATGAACGAACTAGTTGGTATACGGTCATGGATATTTTACTTATGAACTCCCCGCTTGGATTCATCGGCCACCATGCAAGGCTTATAATCGTCGTGACGTGTGCAAAGATTTTTTGGCGGGGCTTCCTTTTCTTCCTCACATTGTGTCCTTTGAAAGGCTAATCTACGCCAATGAGCGTTCTTTCCTTCCTCTTGTCTTGGAAGCAAAGTTCATTAACCTGCAGGGTTACATGATTCAGGATGGGAAATTGATTACATCTGCAAGTACATTGAGCTTGAATTGAGCATCAAGATATGAGAACAGATTGCCAAATTCTAGAAATACAAAGTAATGGTGAAGAGATCTGAAGGTCAGCAAGCTCGAATTGCAAAATCTATGCAATTGCTGTACTGTACTCAGAGGAGGGAATCGTACTCTGTCGCTGAGATGTCGACTCTGGTTGCGGTGTGAGCTGAAGGGCAGAATGCAAACTTTCGTTCTCCATTTTGGGAAGCAAGGCACTGTCGAAGACAAAAGGTCTCAAACCTGACTGACCAACTGTTTGATGTCCACGTTATTGATTCCAAAATTTATCCCCGCAATGTGCGGAAATAAATTTTGCTTCTTGGAAAATGAACTTGGAAGTTCCGATGTTCCAAAGGAGCACACAGTGACATCACCTCGAGGAGCCCTTAATCTATGTCTTCGATTTGTGTGCATAATGAGGAGCCGTATGGTTACGATTGAGCCGTCTACAGAAGCTGAAGGCATAGTTGTTTTAGCTGTATGTGAAGCTCAAGGTTTACTTCTGCGGAGTTGATACATTGTACGTGGAGTTGTAAAATTTGAACGACACAGGTAAGTGGCAAAGAAAGTAAACGTTGAAGCTAACGAAGAAAGTGTTGTTCTCTGGGTTGAAAAACAGGTGTAGATATCTTAAGTATATCAGAGTTCACTGATCGTGAATGACAACGTCTGCAATACAGGGTCAGCACGATGATGACGATTATCCTCAAGTGTGCAAAGGTCATGCTTTAATCATTTTCTGCACTTGCATGAATGGCACTTCAAAAGAGAACGATTTTTTTTCTTATCCAAAACCTAGCTCTAGTATCATCTTCAGTGCCTAACGGCCAAACCAAACCGGCAACGGCAATGAATCCTCGCTTGTTATTGGCGCCCAAGCTTCCCCCTTTAAAACACGGGAGTGAGTGATATATCCTAGGTGGCAAAGAAATAGACTTCTCCAAACTACCAGGCATTTCCGCTTGGAAATCCGGTTTTTCCGAAATATATCGACTCCACGTGTACTTCGCGCCTTCTTGGGTTACTTTTCTAAAGACTTCCGCTGCGTTCCAATTAGTAGAGATATTTTTCCCTTTTCACTCCACCGGTAGTGTGGTAGAGGTTATGGAATTGTCTCCAGCTGGCCAAGTTCGGCCTGGTTTAACCTGGCCTAACCTGGTTTTCTTATAGCCAGGAGCTTGGCCCTAAGACTTGTGTACCCGGCTAGAAAGTGCTTGTAGTTGACTTTTGTCGCTCAAGACTTTAGCAGGAGTCTTACGAGAACCTTAGGTAATCGTGAGGTAATCGTGACGTGTCCTCCTTAATCTCTGTGCCAGTTGTCCGTAATCATAAGAGGGATGCACCCTGAACTCACGCACCCATTAGATAATTAGTATGCTCACATCTTTAATCAACGGTGCCATGATTTAATCAGCAAGATCCGTGGATATGTCGTACAACGTAAAGTATCTTCGAGGCTTGCATGTATGTTTTATGTAGGATCTAGGGAAGTGACGTGTGGATAAGGCGGAGAACCATAGAGCTAAAAGAGAGGTAAAAGAGCCCGGAGGTGGGACATGACGCAGGATGCACAGAAAGTCTGTCATGAAGACGGCTGTGCAAGGCCCAATGAGATGCTCTGCAAGCCGTTCCGATTATTAAGAAACAACAATGTCACAATTATTGCTGCATCATTCTGATGGAGGATTACGCCAGAGATCAATGGAGTGCAATCAAAGAGGCGAAGCATACAAATCGACGTTGATGAAAGAAGAAAATAGTGACATGAAGAGCGTAAATCATTTTGGTTACTAAACAGACGCAGTTCTCTGTACTCTTACTGATACTATTGTAATGATAGTCTTTCCCTCTACACATAGCGCTGCAAGGGCTGTTGGGGGTTTACCCTCCACATCCCTCTTCCTTTAGATGAGTAAACATGGTGCTAATGCAGAAAGAAGATAACAAACCTTCGAGGTCTAGATTGAAGTTTCATGTTTGTTCCAGATCTGGGTACTTTATAATTAGGACGGTTCGCTGAGAGATCCTTTGAAGAGCCTGGTCGCTGTGTTTTGGCCACTACCCATCTTCATCTAACTATCAATCTAAGTGTCTATCTTTCCAGCTCTCTCCGACTCCATCCTACGGTTCCGTTCTATCACCCTCACGCTCCAAAGCCCATAAGCTTTTGAAATGAAGCTAGAGGCTCCAGTAATATATATATATATATATATATATTTCACAATAGAGTCAATTTAGCAAGTGAGCTTCAACAAGAGCAAGAACATTTTAATAGTTCATATATACATGAAATATATGCTCCAAGTTCTGCGAGAAGGTTCTACAACTGATTATCATTCTTGTTACATTTTAATGGTCTGAATCGAAACAAATTAAAAGGATGCGCTGCCATATTTTGGCCCGTAGTGGTTTCGATCCTCAAACTTGTGGACTGATATGCATCAACGTTGTAACAAGGTACGTCTCCCAGTGAAGGGGCTCAATCATTGGAGTTAGTTTTAACATGTGACTGGTCATGCAAATCGTGTAATCATGAATCGTCGTGGAATCTGGCCTTCCGAGGGTTCTACTTTATACAGTCCAATTGGAACAACTCCGTGCAGACAACGCTCTGCTATCTAGAGGCCTAGTAGCACATTTGTATGGCGCACAATGATTTCCCAGAAAATCCCCATGATGGACCTCAGAAAAACTCGACTTACTTTATGGGACTCAAAGGGTTTCATTTTACCCGATGGTACCCTCACGAGGGCCATCGTCGGAGATGTCCAATACGATATGGGATTATTTCGCAAATCTCTAGACGTTTTTCTCTCCGGATGCAGTTATGGCAAGACCCTATAGAAAGTAATTCAGAATCATCTTGCCTTTTGCCTGAACTCGTATTTCTGATACTAGTTCGCAGTGTGTATGGGAGATGAAGTCCGACGGAAGCATTTCGTGACGGTCGACGGCCAAATTTTGCAGGCTTCGCTCGGCTGGCTTTGAATCGACCAAAGCAATCGAACACACTGAATGCTGCGATGATGTTTCGATAAATTCTTGTCCCCGTACCTTCTCTCGATGCCGATCCGAATGTCCGCGTGCATATGGAGGCATTTCTGCGCATGACTCGACTTGCAGTTTTGATCCACCGATTCTCTACTGTACTCTTCTGCGCGTGGTGCCGGTCGTCTAGGGGTTGAGAGAGAGAGGTTCAGAAGGCTCGTCAAGTGGCTGCAAGAGGCTTTTTTCTTTCGAGCATTGTAAAAATCATTTCATCGCTGCCAAATTACTCTCACGGGACATAGTATTTTGGCCCGACAAAGGACATAGACTCTTCACACTATAATGTATAGTATCAGGTTATAAGAATTATTATTGGAATAGTGTTGACGGTGACATGCATTGCCGTCAAGTGTGGTCCTATCTGGTAAAATGAAACGTGGTGTATCCCATCAAGTGATTTGAGTCTCTCGCGGTCCCATCAAGTAATTACAATGAAGCTTCTTCAATCTGGAGACAAAAGCTTCCAAGGGGAGTAATCCTGCAATCATGAATCGTCGTGGAATCTGGCTCTACTTTACACAGTCCAATTGGAACAACTCAGTGCAGACAACGCTGTGCTATCTACAGGCCCAGCAACAGTAGCACATGTGTATGGCGGACAACGAGTCCCCATTCATGCGGAATCTCGTAAGCCCCGACTGGACCCCGGGGTCCAGCTGGGTGCAAAGCGAGCAGTCGCATACGCAGCAGGCAGCTGCTGAATGATTTGGTCTATGTCGGTTCGTTGAACACTCCGTATCTACCGTCATTGAAATGGCGAGCGAAATCTTGAGTATGCAGTAGCCAGTGTCGTGCGCAGGGCATTGTTCTCAGCGTTCCGATCACGACCCCGATCACAATAACGACTCCGATCGGAATTCCGATCTCGAAGGCCCGCCAGAATGTATCATCCAGGAGCTCGAACGACGGAGCACCAAGTGTGGCCGAGCTTCCGCTTGCGTCGCTGTCTTGCGCCGCACAAGTGGTCTCGAGCGGGGCCCCGCAGAGCTGATCGTTCCCGGGCTTGAAGGACGAAATGTCGTACCTCGTGGAGAAAGCATTCGCCGTGGGGATCTCGCCCTCGAGGAAGTTGTAGGAGAGATTCAGATAGCTCAAGCTTGGCCTGCTGAGCATCGCAGGAATCTTCTCCGTGAGATAGTTGGCCGATAAATCCAACGACTGCAGACGCAGGAGATCTCCAATCTCCTCAGGGATTTCGCCCGAGAAATTATTGTGCGTCAGATTCAAGTACGTCAACCCGCGCAGCTCTCCAAGCGCGTGCGGGAGCTTGCCGGAGAGATGGTTGTATGACAAGTCGATGGAGAACAGAGTCTCGAGCACGTACTCGAGTTCGAGTCGCGAACCTTTGGCCTCAATGGAGATTTGCTCGAGCAATTTCCCCCCGTCCACACGTACGGGGATGAAGTTGTCGATGAAATTGCTGCCTCCCCTGACGTTGTCTGGCGATGCTTCGAGTCGAATAAAGCCTTCCAAGCCCGAGAGATTGGTCGGGCACACTCCCGTGAACGAGTTGTGCGACAAGTCGAGCACTTGCAGCTCCGGAAGCTTCCAGATCCAACCGGGCACGCTGCCGCCGAATTTGTTGGATGATAATTTCAAAACTCGCAATTCGCGCAGCACTGGTTGAGAGTATTCGTTGTTGTCGGGGAGCTCCTCTGAGAATTCATTGCTGCTCAGGTCCAGGAGCTTCAGATGCGTGCAGTTGTACACGCTCACGGGAAACTCTCCGCCGAGCTGGTTCTCGTTGACAGAGAAGCTCTCGAGGGATCGCAGCTGCAAGAAGTCAATCTGAGTCACTGTGCCCGTGAGCTTGTTTCTGCTCAGCCTGATGTTTCTCAGCGAGCTGCAGTTCGCCAGAGACGCGGGAATGCTTCCTGTGAGGTTGTTGCTGTGGAGGATGAGGTACTCCATGTACTGCAGTTGCCCCAACTTTGGAGGGATTCCACCCGTAAGAAAATTGTAGCCCAGATTGATCTCGTTGATGCTCTCTAGGTCGGCTAAGCTCGTGGGTATGGGCCCCGACAGCCCGTTATTGTGCAGGAAGAGGAGCTTCAATCTCGACAGCTTGCCGAGCTCGGCGGGAATGTGGCCTCGGAAGTTGTTGTCGTTCAGGAGCAAGTACTGGATGCCGTCCGAGAGCATCGAGAGGTTTCTCAGCGGCTCAAGCGTGCCCGTGAGCCTGTTGTTCTCTACGCCCAGCAAAACGAGCTGCGAGAGGTTTCTCAACGGGTCCAACGTGCCCGTGAGATTGTTCTTCGCTGCGTCCAAGTAAGCGAGCAGCGAGAGGTTTCTCAGCGGATCCAGCGTGCCTGTGAGATTGTTGTACCCTACGGACAGGAATACGAGCAGCGAGAGGTTTCTCAGCGGGTCAAGCGTGCCCGTGAGCCTGTTGCTCGCTGCGAACAGGGAATTGAGCACCGATAGGTTTCTCAGCTGCTCCAGCGTGCCCGTGAGCCTGTTGTTCGCTGCGTTCAAGTAATCGAGCAACGAGAGGTTTCTCAGAGGCTCCAGCGTGCCCGTGAGATTGTTGTTCGCTGCGTACAAGTAAGTGAGCAGCGAGAGGTTTCTCAGAGGGTCCAGCGTGCCCGTAAGCATGTTCTTCGATGCGTCCAAGGAATCGAGCAGCGAGAGGTTTTTAAGCGGTTCCAGCGTGCCCGTGAGCCTGTTGTTCCGTGCGTCCAGGTAAACGAGCTGCAACAGGTTTCTCAGCGGCTCCAGCGTGCCCGTGAACCTGTTGTTCCTTGCGTACAGGGATTCGAGCAGCGAGAGGTTTCTCAGCGGCTCCAGCGTGCCTGTGAGCATGTTGCTCCTTGCGTCCAGGGAATCGAGCAACGAGAGTTTTCTCAACGGCTCCAGCGTGCCCGTGAGACTATTGTACTCTGCATCCAGGTAAACGAGTTGCGAAAGATTTCTCAGCGGGTCCAGCGTGCCCGTGAAATTGTTGTCCCTTACAGACAGGATTTCGAGCAGCGAGAGGTTTCTCAGCGGGTCCAGCGTGCCCGTGAGGTTGTTTCTCGTTGCGTCCAACGTTTGGAGCTGCGTGCAGTTGTTGAGGCTGTCAGGCAATTTCCCATCCAGCTGGTTGCTGTGGAAATCGAACACTTGGAGGTTGGCCAGCTGCCCCAGGTTCTTGGGGAGGCCGCCGGTGAACTCGTTGTCGAACATGTAGAAGATCGTCAACGCCGTCATGGCCGTCACAGCTCTGGGAAATCCACCACGAAAATTGTTCCCATCGATGAAGAGCTTTTCGAGCCGACTCCACGAAGTGGACTCCACTGTCAGAAAACTTCCCGTCAGGTAGTTGTACTCCACGTCCAGACACTCGAGCTTCGACAGCGACGTCAGCTCCACGGGAAACTCTCGCTCCAGGGCATTGTGTCCCAAGCTCAGGAACTTGATTTTTGTCAGGTTGCCAAGCTCGGATGGGATGGAGCCTGCGAAATTGTTCTGCTCGAAGCTCAGATACTCCAGATTGACGAGCTGGCCGTACTCTCTCGGAATGGGACCCGTCAGTAAGCTGTTGCCGGAGAAATCCAAGTACCACAGCTTCGTGCAATTGGCGATGGACTTGGGAATGGGGCCACTCATCTTGTTCCACCGGTCAGGGTGCACCTCCTGCTTGGTGTCGAAATTTAAGAGCGTGCCCAGGGCCAAAACCTCGAGCTCAGAGAGCAAACCCAACTCCTCCGGAATGGACCCATTGAAGAACCAGCTCTGCAGTCCGATGTAGAGGACCCTTAAACTGGACATGTTGCCGTACCCTGCAGGAACTCCACCGAAGAGAAAATTATCATGGACATTCAAGGTCTGCAGCCTCTGCAGCCGGCTCCATTCCACGGGAAGCTCGCTCAACAGGAAATTGTGGCTCAAATCGAGATCCACGAGGTATTCGAGCTTGCTCAACGAAGGACTCAAAGTGCCGTTCATCTTCAACCCGGAGAAGTTGAGTGAAATCACGTGCAGCTCATCGTCGTAGATGACCCTTGTCCACGAGCAGTAGGTGGAGCGATTCCCCGTTGTCCATCCATCCAAAGCGTTGTCCGTGTAGTTTTCGATTTTGGCCTTGAATTGCAGGAGTGCATCGGCCTCCCTGGGACAATGGCAACACATTGGACTCGTATGGCGTTAGAGATGAATTTCACTCACTCGTCCGAGCATGCGCATTGCTTTGGACATGCTCGGACGAAGGACACAAGCGACAGGTGCAGAATTGTGCACTTCTCTATCAGATGATATCTTGCTGCTAAATGTCACTGACCCGAAGCTGTCTTGGAGCAAAGTGCGAGATATTCCTCGGGAGTGTGCAGATTCCTCCTGAAAACGATGGAGAGGCTCATGACGATTCGTGAACGAAGTGTCGACGGCTTGGTCCTGAAGTCTTAACCGCTGCAGCTCTCGCTGGCTCCTTTGACCGCCGTGTGCTTGTTGCTGGCCCATATGCGCTTCGACGGAAGAAGCCGGAGGAAGTCCAATCTCGCTGTTGATGCTGCCATTCTGTTTCCCGGCCGATTCTGCGCGTGCATCGAAATCTGGATCCTGGAGAGTCTCATCAAGAGTCTCGATTCTGCTTATTTCTCCGAAGGTGGTATCCTCCTGACCGGCGGCGCAAGCACCGAGCTGGAGGCAACATAGCACCAGAATCACCAGCATCCTGAAGCGTTCGTGGAGAGCGGGCAGATCAGGAGAGGAAACGACCGATGCCCTACCTGTAGATTTTCTGAGTAAGTGCATGGTGTCCACCTCCAGAGAAATATAAATCTCAATTCTCCATGTACTCCTCAATCTCCATGCATCGTGGAATTGCGAATTATTATCAAGCAACTATCTTCTGTTTTGAGCAGCAAACATTTTCAATATAAACTATGACGAGTGCATGGTATATCTTGAAATGTCGTCACTGTTCTAATGCAAAGAATATCTGTAAGGTAGCTCCCGCCAAAAGTTATCTCAGATAAGACGGCTGTCATCGACTACAGAGAGAAGCATTTCACATCCAACAAAATTTCTACTCTCTATGAGCTTCAAGAAGAGCAGTGCAGCACGGGGTGGGCACTGGTGAAGATGGCAACTCCCTCAACACGTGCTGCATGAAAAGAGTAAGAGGACACTGTGAGATAAATTGCAAGCCTAGCAAGTTGGCTTGGAATTTCAAAGGAGAAACAAAAGGTAAGGAGTGGTCCCCCTCTGAGCAGAAATCAAAATCGACCAGGAGGACCTGGAGGTGAGAGGAAAACCAAAGGTCTTTTAGAAGACGTTCAAGTCGATAGTTTTTGATGTGTCAGGCAAATAAAAAGTTACAACTAAGAATTACCTTTATACAGTCTCCAATGACATGAGCGTCTTCATCTGGCCCAAACTGGTTATGCACCCCCTCATGGTCTCGGACCCTACGCTCAACTTCATCTACATCTGCTGACTGACGTAAGATTCCTTCCACGCCCAGACCTGAATCACATATTTTCAATGAAAAGTTCGAAGTCTAAATCAAGGTGTGTCATACAGACGGTCAAAGAACAGATTGGCTACTAAACACTTGGTAAACTTAGATAAATAATAGCTTATAATGAACAATAGTTGAAGAAAAAGGGAGAAAGATGTTCATGATTTGAACAAGTAAAATGCACTAATAATGTGTAACTGGTAATCTCCAAGTTCGCCAAAAATAATTCAGTGAATTACACAATTTCCGAGAGCTCCTAACTTCGTGACTATTAAAATTTAAATTGAAGTTCTTCTAAAGCAAAAATGCTAGCATAGCTAAGTGGATAGAACGTGCAACTCTTATTTGAAAGGTAGGAGTGCGATTCCCCCTGCTCACGGCTTGTGTTAAATGTGTACCATGATTCTCTACGAGGCAAAGAGCCTTCTCCAGGAAAGAAGGGCTTCCATTAGTATCTTCCAAGGCAACCAGAATAGGTCTCCCGACAATCAATTTAACTGAATTAAGACGATTCACTTACGGCTTATATTTTCAAACACAATATATGCACAACCTCCGTACAGAGAGGGACTAGGCTAGGAAGAGTTCAAAGAGCAATTACAGGATCATTTTTAAAGAAGACGAGGGATGTGCGAGTAAGTATGAACCAACGCCGCTTCCATGATTTCCAGCCAAGACCTGCCAATACACAGAGGCTAGTCAAAAACTGTCTACGCTTAAACAGCTACCCGACCGATATGAACTCCTTACGTGGAGAGTCGTTCAGTTGCTTGATATAATTTTTTTTTAAACGGTGGCATTTCCCATAAACATCTATGTGTAGTTGACATGGTCCGTCGTCCTAAAATGTCCTCCAGAGCTGCCCACAAACTCACAATAATTTACACGTATGCAGTTTTTTGATGGGTTTCGGGGCAGGAGTGATCCTAAAAGCATAATGAATGTCCTGGCCAGTTTCGCGAAGAACCTCATTTATGTAATCATAGAAAACCACCGAGCTGAAAAGCCGAAAGAAAAGCTATCTTAAGGAAAGTTGATTTCCTTCAACTCAGTGATCTGGAGTCACATAAGACTTTATGACATCAAATGAAGCCGTCTGGAGAAGGGCCAGATCAGCAACGATACAATAAACATCAGTCACCCATAAATGAGCAACTACATCCACCCTAGACAAGGAAGATCTGGAATACTTGATTCGGTTCCACTATAGAAAGTCAGGAGCTAGGACACAACGGTGCGCTTTCTGAGACAATGTACTATTCCAAGACATGTACAGGCCTTCGCCAAGATAGATCCATACACCATGTGTCTCATCTACTGCCAAATTATAGGTATCTCTTTCGCATCGTGTGATACGAGGCATCATAACAATGGTATTGCCACTAAAATTTGAAAAAACGGAGTTAAATTGTGCAAAGCCTCAGTGTACTTGCCAACAGCATCACATCCGTGGCCCTGGCCTTCTCGGTCGGTGACATCACAGAGGGGAAATTTACTCCCAAACGTTCCAATTTGACTCTATATATCCGCAAGCGGAACTTGCATATTTCAAATTCCATGGACTGCAAACAACTGGCTGAATCAAAATTACTCAAAAACACAAGAGTGAACCTTTGGACGATATAAAAAGTGGCCCGCTTTTGAAAACCTGAAAAGTCCAATTCACATTCAAATGCCACAAACTTAGAAAATACTGCGATGGAGGTTGACGGTACTTGGCAATCAATGAAGGAGATCTGGAGCTCTTCAAACATAGAACAACCAGAAGTTGCAGTAAAGATGTCCATCGGGCCTAAACCATTGACCATGGCTTAACGACGAGATTAAATTATAACCAGACGCGATGGATCAATGGACGGGATGAGAGCCAAGTAGACGGGCGGATGTTGGTAGTAGTCCTCTACAAATCCATTCAAAACTTGGGTGAGAAGTGATGTAATCATTCACCCTTCAATATGGATCTTGTATTTAAAGATCGCTACAAGTTTAACTGACTAACTAAAGAACGGCCGATCTTCTCTCGCCAATCTAACATCGGAGACAGTGACTGTTTCCTTCTCGGCCGTAGTTAGTGTTCACGTCACACTCGACCATGAAAATTGTCCTCAGAAGCTCGAAAACGGCTTGAGTATGCAAACTGACATAACATGAGCGAAACAGGATCGACATGCGCACCAGATTTGACCCACGCCCCCGCGGACGCTCATAAGGGGCTGGAGTCACTGTCGCTGACATCTCCTTTGCGCTCCTGTCTCCTTATATTCCTACCTGCTAGCAACCTCCTGATCCTCAAATCTCATCGTCTTGTCCGTCCATGATATGTCCACTACTGTTCAACTTCTTTCATACCTCTCTACCTGAAGCTACCAATGCCATAAAGGACCCAATGCTGTCACAGTCCGTCATCTGACACTCTGTGAGCGACCATCCTAAGCCCACAGAGAATGTGCGCTACCAATTGCCTGGAAGTTCTGGATATCTTCGGAGTAATGCTGATGGCAGTCGGTCGTTCTTGACAAGTGACAGAAGAATTTCACTCCGAGATCAGACTGAACAGGCAGAGGGGGTCTTCAGACGCTACTCACCGGTAGCTTTTATGTATAGCCAAGACGCCTTCGTCCCTGTTAAGACGCTCTCAGCCGCAGCTAGCTCTCAGCAGCGTTGTGCGAGTATGCGGGGCATGGGTTCCGGAGCGGTCAGCAGGGATGGGAATCCTTGATCATGAACCACAACATTGGATCTTCCAAATGCCCTGCTGGGTTCCGAGAATGGGCAGTGAAAGTTGAAGTGGTTAAACCTTCACTGCACATTGAGGATCGAATGCTTTCTTTACGCACGCATGAACGAACTAGGTGGTCTGCGGTCATGGATATATCAATTATCAACTCCCCGCTTGGATTCATCGGCCACCATGCAAAGATTTTAATCGTTGTGACGTGTGCAAAATTTTTTTGGCGGGGCTTCCTTTTCTTCCTCACATTGTCTCCTTTGAAAGGCTACTCTAAGCCAATGAGCCTTCTTTCCTTCCTCTTCTCTTGGAAGCAAAGTTCATCAACCTGCAGGGTTCCATGATTCTGGATTAGAATTTGATTACATCTGCAAGTACATAGAGCTTGAATTGAGCATCAAGATATGAGAACAGATTGCCCAATTCTAGCATGTACAAAGTAATGGTGAAGAGATCTGAAGGTCAGCAAGCTCGAATTGCAAAATCTATGCAATTGCCGTGCTAAAAGTATCATTGTCTTCTTATTTCACCAGCAACTCTGACGACTAGATCGCTATATGACCAGACCGGAGTGTCCTCTAATCTCGAGCTCCTCCAATTCGGAAAAGACCGGCCGATGAACATCTCCTAGCTTGCTCTCCGGACGCAGTGACCACCGAAGAGAAGACTCGTACTAGAGGGCGGCCGACTTTTATATCCTCTGGAGAGAGAAAAAAAGAAAGAAAGAATGGTCCTTGGTGTTCTGGATGGATGGATGGACGGACGGACGGGTCTATAAAAAGGATGGTGGTGGTCCTGATCACGGCAGCAGTAAGCGCAGATCATCAATAAATACTCAAGTGAAATTCGTGTTTCTAATTTATCCATTTTTTCTAATATCCCATGAAACAACGCGTGATGAATGAAGAACCCAAGTAAGTCAACACGGAAAGTTTGACTTGGTCTCAATACTAAAGTAGTATTTTGATAATATAGATCTTAAATAACTTCAAGCGAAGATACTTAACAGTATGACTTCGTTCTCCTGAAGATTTCAGTTCTGAACTTGAACTAAACTGATCTAAGTCAAAGCTAGAAATGAGATATTCAGAGTAAGAGAGCACTTTAGGGCAAGAATGTGTGTTGAACAAGGCTCAGCTGACAGCATCAAAAGAGTTTTGGACGAGGCGAGGTCACCTTGAACGTAAGGTGAGCTGTTGCTGCTTCATCAAATTTTCATTGATTACTGATGTTCGAGGAGAATTTCACGACGTATAGTGCATTTCATTCTACTACATAGAGCAACCTTGTTGTTTGAGATATTTCCACCAACAATACGTTGTACGAACGGCGAATTAAAGCATTTAAAAAACGCGCTTCGACAGAGGTTAACTACAAGACCAAGGCCGAGTTGTTAACGTTCCCAGCTGCATCCATCCCCAAAGTTCGTAATATTGAAGGCGTATTCAGATCAGCGAGACTTGTCGTGTCTTCGAGCGGTCAGATTAGTGTTTTAATAGTCTGAAGCATCTTTGAGAAGCTCTTGGACTTGATGAACTTTGGAATGCACCCGCTTCACCCAGGTGGGAATCTTGAGAGTAAAATGCTCCAGTGGGTGGGGCTTCCTTTTCTTCCCCACGTTGTCTCCTTTGAAAGGCTAATCTACGGCAATGAGCCTTCTTTCCGTCTTCTTCTCTTGGAAGCAAAGTTCATTAACCCGCAGGGT